GTAGTTTTCTCTTGATCATCTGGTGCAACTAGTATCTGATTGTAACTCGAATACCCGTCGAGGAAGCAGTAATGTGAGTGGCTTGCCAATGTCTCTAGCATTTGGTCTATAAACGGAAGGGAAAAGTGATCTTTCCTTGTTGCTGCATTGAGTTTGTGGTAATCAATGCAAACCGTCCATCCTGTGACTGTTCTGGCTGTTATCAACTCATTCTTCTCATTGGGCACTACCGTTATTTCTCCTTTCTTTGGCACCACCTGAATTGGGCTACTCCATGCACTATCTGATATCGGATATATGATTTTAGCAGCAAGAAGTTTGAGTACCTCTACTCTGACCACTTCTTTCATATTTGGGTTTAACCTTCGCTGACTTTCTATGGTTGGCAAGAAATTCTCTTCTATGAGAATCTTATGCATGCAAAGTGAGGGGCTGATCACTCAGATATCTGCTATGGTCCATCCAATTGCTATTTTATTCTCCCTGAGCACCCTAAGAAGTTTCTTTTCTTCCACTTCGTTGACAGTGTTCGAAATGATCATAGGGAGTGTATAGGATTCTCCCAACTAAGCATATCTGAGGTGTGGTGGTAATTGTTTGAGTTCTAATTTTGGTCGCTACTGAATGGATGGTAGTGGTTTTGTAGGTCCTGTTCCAAGCTCCTCAAAATGCGTTTTTCGCGTATAAGGTGGGTTGGTATCTAGAAACCTTGCACAAGTTTCCATCTCCATTGAATTAGACTGCGTTGACTACGAATGTGCAATGCAAGCTTCAGGATTGTGTAGCATAAATGAGTCTTGGATCACCTTATCAATCACGTTGATCTGGAAATAGCTATCTGTCTCTGTAGGTAGTTTCATTGCCTTGAAAACATTAAACAAGATCTGCTCTTTCCCCAGTCTCAATATCAGTTGCCCATGTTGAACGTTGATCAAAGCTCTTCCTATTGCCAAAAATGGTCTGCTCAGTGTCAATGAAATATCCTTATCTTCTTCCATGTCCAAGATTAGGAAATTCACAAGGAATATGAATTTTTCCACCTGGACAAGCACATCTTCAATTATTCCTCTAGGATGTGTTAACAACCTGTCAGCTAGCTGTAACGTTACAGTAGTCACCTTAGCCTCTCCCAAGCCAAGTTTCATGAAAATCGATAGAGGCATTAAATTAATATTTGCACCAAGGTCACACAAAGCTTTATCAAAATGAACTTCACCAATAGTGCAAGGAATAGTAAAACTCCTTCGATCTTTCAATTTTGGTGGGAGCTTTTTCTGAATTCTGGCGCTGCATTCCTCTGTTAGCATTATTGTTTCGTGATCCCCTAGCTTGCGTTTATTTGATAGTATGTCCTTCAGGAACTTTGCGTAGCTAGGCATCTGGAATAATGCATCGACGAGTGGGATGTTGATGTGGAGTTTCTAAAAAACTTTAAGAAATTTCTTGTATTGCTGCTCCAACTTTTGCTTTTTCGGCCTCTGTGGAAAAGGTATGGGAGGTTCGTGAGGGTTAACGGTTGCTTTTCTCTGTGTTTTGTCCGCTTTTTTAGCTGGGATGGATTCCTCCATCTGCTCATCATGCTCTATAGGTTCTTCTATAGTTGGAGATTCTATTTCTTGATTTACACCTAGCCTTTTTACATGGATTTCTGGTAGCTGCTTTCCAGTTTGAGTTGTAATTGCCTTAGCATGCTCCTTCGGGTTTATTTCCGTGTTACTTGGTAAGTTTCTTGGTGCTCTGCCAGTCAATGCTATGGCTAATTGTCCCACCTGAGTTTCCAAATTTTTGACAGCTGCATTTTGGTTCTGAAGTGTAGCTTCAGCCTTCTCCATGAATTTTCCTATCATTTCTTCCAACTGAGGTTTCTTCTCTTGCTGTTAAAATTGTCCTTGTGGCTTGTTTTGATTCTGGTTGCTCCAAGAGAAGTTGGGATGCTTCTTCCAACTCGAATTAAATGTTTCCCCATATGTGTTATTTTGTTGCCGCTATCTCCATTGAGCAAAATCTACCTGCTCTACTCCTTGAACAAAGATTGGACATTCTGCTGTTACATGCTTAGCCCCACATTCTTCACAACTAGCATTTTTCGACTGTGCTGCGGTAGTTGATTATGTCATGTTTTCCACCTTGGGAAATAATGAATCAATTTTTACTGACAAGGCGGAATAGATGTCCACTTCATAAACCCCCAGTGTCTTTTTCTGAACTACTCGTTCCAATGTCCACATAGCTGAAGTGGTGGCCATGATCTCGAAAAGTTCCAGTGCCTCATCAATTGTCTTTGTGGATAATGATCCGTTTGATGACGAGTCAACCATACTTTTGAAGGCTGGGAGTAATCATGCATAGAAGTATTGGACCTGAAATCCCTTGCTAATCCCATGATGTGGACCCTTTCCTAACATATTCTTGAACCGATTCCAGGCTTCAATGAAATTTTCTGAGTTGCCTTGGCAAAAAATAGAGATGTCATGCTTGAGCTTCGCAATTTTAGCAGGTGGGGAGAACTTAGTGCAGAATTTTTGGGCTAGATCATTCCATGTGGTGATGCTTATGAATCCAACCATTCAATTGCCTTGTTGCGCAGTGTATGTGGGAATAACCTTAATCTTATTGCATCGTCTGAAATTCCTTGATATCTGAAGT